GGGGCCGCCGCCCGGCTGGCCGCAGTCGTCCGGAAGCTTGATCAAGTATTCCTGGGGTCGGGGATCGCAGGCCGGCTGGCCGGGAGCTGGGGAGTTCACACAGCTGGGTCAAGGGAGGGGGCTGAGATTGGGGACGTGGACTGGGCTCAGGTGGGGCGGGACCGGGAGGCTCACCGAGCACCGTGAGCTGGGCGGCGCGGGAGCGCACGGCGCCAGCCTCGTTCCAAGCCTTGCAGTGGTACTCCCCTGCCTGGTCCTCGCGAAGCCCCCGCAGCTCCAGGTGCGACCCAGACCCATGCTGGCGCCGGTCCAGCAGGGTCCCGTTGTGGAACCTGAAGAAGGCAGTAAGTGGGGGTGGGCCGACTGCCTCTGTCATTAGGTCTGGTGAGTGGCTTCCTGGAGCACAGCCTTCTCCCTGGACCTCTGCACTCTGAATAAAGGGAAACTGAGGTGGACATTCTCTCCTAGAGGTCTTGGTTTTGTTGAGACATGGCTGTGCACCCCAGGATGACTTTGAATTCTTGATCTCGACAGGCGTGTCTACCAGGGCTGCTTTGTTTCTTCTTCTTCTGAGACATGGTCCCACCACTATGTAGCCCACTCTACTTCAAGCTACAACAATCCTCCTGCCTCAGCACTGGGATCGTGTGTTCATCACTGCACCTTAGGTTTTAGAGGTGCCAAAGGGGACAGGAACTCCCACCAACCCAAAGCTGGCCCAGTTCCCTGAGTTGGTGTAGACACTCACCAGGAATATTTCTTAGGCATGGGGGTCCCCGAAGCCTTGCAGCAGAAGGTCACATTCTGGCCTGCCTCTTGCACTCGGGACTCGGGGTGTTTTACCAGGTATGGTTTCCCTGAGGGGATAGGAGTTGGCCAAGGTCATGGCCCCAGAGACCCCTTTTCACTCATGGACAGCCTGCCTCACCTTGTACTGTCAACAAATGAGTCATATCTACCCCCCCTTGGCCTGGAAGGTCCTCCCCTGTCACTCAATCCCATGTTCTTGGCTGCAAGGACACTCACCTAACTCTTTGAGGACGATGGTCACCACGGCTGAGTTGGAGCTGTTGGCATGGGCCAGTGCTGTACCGGTGGAGAAGCCATCCATCTGGGCACTGACATTGGTCTGGCCGCCAGCACAGACTCCAGGCACCAGGAAGGTTCCATGGGTGTCACTGGTGGCTATGGTGCCAGGTCTGGCTTTAAGGAAGACCCTAGCTCCTGGCAGCGGTCGCCCAGATGGGGTGACCACTGAGCCCAAGAGGATGTGGTCAGGGCACCTGCAGGTGTCAGAGCTACACCCTAAGGGAACATGGGGCGGCAAGGACAGAGAACTCGTGGGGAGAGCTTTGCACTCAATCATTCAACAAACATGTAACACCCCCCCCCAACCAATTCCCCTTGGGCTTCAGTGTGGCTGGACTGGAGTAAGGGATGAGTGGGCACAGCTGGACCTGGGGTGGGGGTGGGGGAGGGGGTGGGAGAAGTTCTCCAAGAGGCTGATTCACAAAAGATGGTGAGCATTCATTCACAGAAACACCTAGGCAGGGCTGGGAGGGAGGGAGGGACACAACATCTGTCTCACTTCCAATGCTGCTGCTTCTCCACAAAATGGAAAATTACAGTGGAAACTTCAGGGCAGAGATGCCGGTGGTGTGCCCACCATTGGCAACCTCGTGCCCCCACCCTATGAGGGCCCTGCTGTAGCTGTTTGCAGACCATGTTTGTGGAGCCCAGGCCCGAGTGGAATTTCCAGTCCCCTCCTGGCTGGCCCTGGGCATCGTGTCTGCGTGGGCGAGCAGGACAGACAGAGACTGAATGCTGCATGCGTGCACTCAGTAGGCAACTGGCTTCCGTCTACAGAGGGCTGTGTGTACACTAGAGGAAATGACTCCTTAAGTCTGCCCATGCCTGCCCGGTATTAACCGACCTCTGCGTAGTCTCTTTGCCTTGCGTATACTGGGCCTAGGAGTCTATGCCCAGTAAAATCGCGTTCGACTGTGTGAAATCACGACCCAATCGGGCAAAGGAGGGAAGGAATTGCCAGTATTGTACCCTTATAGGCCCTTGCTGGTGTCCCAAGCTCCTCCCTTTACTGGCCTGACCTTTTCAGGGCCTCCACTTCAACTAGTCCAGTCCTCTTGGCTCCTTATGCAAGCCCCACCCCTGACCGTCCTGTCTTCAGGCTCAGTCCCTCTTACCTGGGCACCGGGACCTCACGCACTTCTGCGCCTCCTGGGGATTACCAAGACACGTGTCCCCAGACGAGCTTTGACAGCTGCGGCGGCGCAGGCGACGGCCTGGCCCGCAGCTCTTGGAGCAGAGACCCCACGCACCCCATGGTCCCCACGCAGCCTCTGCGGAGCAAGGAGGGAGATGAAATAGAGCTGCTCACTCCCCGCAGCGGGCTCTCTGGACTATGCGAGTCCGGTCCCCTGCCCCCTCCCAACATACACAGTGGTCCTGCACAGAGCCAACCCCGGCTCCAGGCTCCCTGCTAAGTGCTTCTGGTTAGCCCTGCTGTTCCCCCATCAGCCTTGAATACGATGGGGGCTCAAGCCATCCTCCAGCTGTTCAGGATGGGCCGATGGGGTCCTGGCATTCTGGTGCACTACCTACCAGTTCCTCCCCTCAAACCAATGCCAGCAGGTGATGGGTGTGTCTCATTGAAGCCACGCCCACGGCCCCACCTAGGTGCACACCCAGGCCCTGCTTTCGCTACGCCTTGCTCCCCAGGGTCACACTTTCTATGGTCCCGCCTTTACCGAGTGGGCAGCGGAAGCGCACGTGGTAGTTGGAGCAGCGGCGGCCTCGCGGCTGCTCCCGATTGAGGCACCAGAAGCCGCGCGCTGGGTTGGCGTGCACCTGCTCGCCCACGGAGGCCGGTAGCGCCCAGTCTGTGGTGCGCGCCTCCAGCGCCAGAGGCCGTGGGCACACGCGCGCGGGACCGTAGTAGAAGCGGATGGCGGCCAGGCTCTCGAAGTCGCCATCTCCTCCCGGATGGTCCACGTTGAACCATGACGTCCACTCGCTGGCCTCTGTGGGTGCTGAGTACTGAGCCCAGGTCCCCACCTCCCGCCAGTCCCTCTAGCTTGAGGCCCTGGGGTCAGGGCTTCCAGGAGCTGTGCTATCCAAGAACTCCACACTCTCCCCACCCTCCCCCATAATCCCACCAGCCCCAGGTCACACCGCCGGTTGCAGAGGCCCTGACTCACCCTCCCAGTCCTCCAGGGCTGGCGAGGGCTGGCCGGGGTCTGGTCCTGGGAGGCCCCTGGCAGCTTCGATGCGCTCCTCAGTAGAGGTGGCGTCTGCAGGAGTGCAAGGAGGCACAGGATGGGGACCGCTGAGACCCCCTTCTGGCGCAACAGGGGGAGCACGACCACCGCCTTTCGCGGGATAGGAAACAGCTCTAGCCCCGGGGGACCGCGGCACTACCCATCCCCTCGGCGGCTAGTGCCATCACTAGACCCCGAAGCCCTGTCCCTCTCCACGGGTTGGGTGACTATGTCCCGCTCTGTGCCCCAGTGTTCATCAGACACAAATTTAATCGCCTGCATTCGCCTTTCTGTGCGTTTTTCTGCCCGCAGACTTCTGCGTTCTCTTCTACTACTTCTGGTTCCTCCTCCTCTACTCTCCGGGTCTCTAGGTGGGGCTCAGGGCACCAGCAGAGAGGTGCTTGGTTCCTCTAGCCTCCAGCTTTCAAAGATGGACTAGACGGAGTGACAGCCCATAGAACCCTTCTTGCTGGGTCCCCAGCCCCGCGGAGGGGCAGGGCAG